TTTTCTAATTTGTTGAGATAGTGAATTGATTGGTTTTTGTTAAATGTGAGCCAAAATCATCACAATTAAAAGAACCAAAGACTTAAACTACTTCAGTATGTGTGCATTGAATTTATTTAATACACGAGTTTCACAATTTGAGTTGAATTACTGAAATAAATGACCTTTTCCACGACATTCTAATTTATTGAGATGCACCTGTACATGCACAATACATACAAACCAAACAGACGGTCATTATATTTCCACACACATCTTTTGTTTTTCTCAACACCGAAAGAAACAAAGCAAATTTGCAATGCTCCAATAAGCTTGATTAACCTATATGCTACAGACGCATGGCTTTAATAAACGTTAGACATAATATAATTTAAAGATAAGGCAGCTCACCGGAGACGATTCGCTCATGGTCCGATACAGCATATAGAATCATCAAATCAGCCTATTAAACATGGAGCTTAATAGAATGATTTGCGCTTAAGACGATGTCTGCACAACATTTACAAGATTAACAGCATTGAATTCTAAGCAGATGAAAAAAACACCACACGTGATGTTAGTTTCAGCTCATACCGCTGTGGTTTCCTGTGTGTCTCCCCTGACAAAGACCCTGCCCTTGTGTCCTCTAAAACACCACCAATTAAACAGCGAGGTGAAGGCAAGTGCGGTTTCATTTCCTAAACTGATAAAAGTTAATTAACGTGGGTGAGAGGGATGAGGTTAAGGAAGACGTTTATGGGTGTGAAATTACTAAATGACTGCTCTCACAAGATAAACAGAGCACCAGGCCACAGCTCAAGCCCCAGGCAGAAACGACAGCAAGCAGGGGGGGAAAAAAGTCAAGAAAGCAGGAAAAGACCAGCGGAATTACAGGTCTGGAAAGACGTTAGGCCGCTGGTGCCGGGGTGGATGCTGGGATCACAGCCGTCAAGACACTTTGTCTCCTCTCACCCACTCACTCGCCTCAGGAACAGTTTCCCGCTACATGAAATGGTATAATCGAAGCTACAGAATTCCCAGCCTTATGGGTGTGGTCTCCTCAATTCTGGCAAAATCCACCACAAGGTCTTTTCCAGTCGACAGTTAGGCAAAAATATAAGATGGTGTTAATTTTTCTATATGTGTTTTTGTTTTAGTCATAGTCTTTAAATTATTCAATATATTTCATCATATCACATTTATTAATTATAGTCAATTTTACTCAGACTAAAACAGCATCTAATTAAAAAAAAAAATGTAACAAAACTATTTTGTTGTCGAGAAAATTTAATATTTAAACAATTTATATTCATTTAAACTAGATTTTTCCTTAAAAACAAAAAACAATCATAAAACAAAAAATAAATTCGTTTTCATCTCATATTTTCACAAACTGTATATTTCAATTAAAATTGATGCACATTTTTAATCTCAATGAAATAAAAAAAAAAACTTTTTTGACAGTAAATTTGTTGACAAGATTAACATTTAAAAAAATTTATAAATCATTTACTTGACAAGAAAATTTTATATTTAAACAATTTATATATAAATTTCTAAAAAATAATCAAAAAAACAAAAACTGAACTAGAAAGAGAACTGTATATTTTAATTAAAATCTACATTTTTCATCTCAACAAACATTTCCTTAACTAAAATTTTACTGCAAGTTTGTTGACAAGATTAACCCTGCATTTTATAAACACAAAAATAAATACAGTGACAAGTAAATTAAACTAAATATTTAAACATTTTACATTAAACTAGACTTTGCCAAATAAAATCTTGTGCTTTTCACCTCATATTTAACTGTATATTTTAATTAAAATTTGTATACATTTATATAAATCTTGACGAAAAAACATAATAAATTCTTAGTAAATTGGTCAAGATTAACACTGCATTTTATGGAAAACATTGGAAAACCACAGCAGCCGCTCATTCTGCCCTCCTAGAGACTTGAAAAATTAATGAAAGCAGAAAAAAGGGAAACCTGATCCACCCTGGCCTGGTTTAAGACCACACGTGACCCTGCATGATTCAACTCTGCCGGCCGGTATGGATAGCCCGGCAGTCTCTGCCTCAGACAGCACACCCACAGATTTCCGACACTGACCGTCTGATGGATACTGAACACAAAACTAGAAAGCACTCATGAGACTCACAGCAACACAGGGTCGGTGCACACAGGTTCAGCCTGGAGGGAAACAAAACCGTGTTTACAAGGCACCAGGTTGACATTATGTTAGGTTAACCAGGTTAACTAATCACTGGATTTTCATCTAAATGGCACATAGAGACAAAAGCGAACTGTATGCAGAGTGGACCAGACTTTACACCATAAGTCAAAAGTCTGGTTTGCACTACCCTCACTGTACTGAACAGCATATAAAGCCCTCGCTCCTCCTCTCCTCTACGCCCTCCGCCAACTTCCCTTTAATAAAACGTTTCCTCTTGTTTGCTTTGCTTTATTGACTTTTTTCTCTCTTTTTTCCTCAGTCTCGAGCATGCCGTGGGCCGAGCGTCAGCTGCAAAGGCTGAAATTATTGCCTGCACCCATCCTACTAACTTCCCCCCTCCTTCCACCACCTCTAATAAACCAAACTGCAGACATGAAATGCTGTTGATACATGAACAGAGGGATTGGAGGAAAGGAAAGATGGTGGGAGGTCTGAAAAGAAACATAGTTGCCAAAAAAAGTGTGTAGGGTGGCGCGCTGAACCTGGGGAACCCCATTCGCTGTGAAAAAACAGCAGCAGAGTCATTGCGGCGGGAATACAGTGAGCTTTGAAAGGATGATGCTGTCTTGTCAGGCGGATCCCCAATGGGAATGTGTGTTTATTTACATCCGTGGTGTGAAACACGGCTGAACGAGAGAGAGTGACTCTTGTGTGAGCGCTTAAGGAAATCAGGTCATGTGCATACTAATCGCCTGATTCCAGGCTCAGAGCGACATTAATCCAATTAAGGAATTAAAAGGAAAAATCCTGAAGAGTGGGAGTCCCGAGTGTGTCTGCCACACACAAACACACACTCACGTAACCGCCAATTGCACAAGTGCATGTTCAGCCTTGTCATCAAATGAGAGTCCCCCAGCACTGCCCATCAGTGGAACAAGACTTGTGTGAGAGACCAATGGAGAGAGAGACAGAGAGCATGATGGGGGAAAAAAGTCAAGTCAGAGGTTTGGATTATGTGTTACTTGTTTAAATCAGAGATCCAAATGAAGTGCAATCCATCAGCAGACACAACAGCTCGAGGTTCTAATGGGTCTGTGTGTATACATTACAACAGCTGTCTCTCTCTCTCTCTCTCTCTCTCTCTCTCTGTGAGTCTCACTCTCTTCACAGGAGGATGTTTATGTCTACTGGTGCTGAGTACTCAGTTCAACATACAGAGATAACACAAGTGCTGCTCCAACTACAGTGGAGAAAAGAATAGAGATCTTCCTAAACTAGGCTATGTAAAATTCCCTAATTTTATATTGTTAAATTAAAACAATAAACAAGCACACACATACATAAATTATACTGTTTATGTCAAATAAAAAATAAAATATAATAAATAAATTGATGTTTTGTATTTAAAATTTTACTGTAATAAAAAATGAATAAATAAATATATAGACAAATAATTCATAAAAATGCAATATAAAAAGCTAAATATTATTTAAAATATATATTACAAATGTATAATTAATATTTTTTATTTAGTAATATATCCCCGCATACATACATATTTGAAATAAATGTTTTTATACATTTTATATTTTCCTGTAATAAATAAATGAATAAACAAAAAATAAATAAATACATTTATAATGTATAAAAAAAATACAAATAAATAAAATATAAAATGAACTACATATTTTTATTATATATAATGTATTTTTGTAAT